AATCAAAATCGGTTATGAAACTGTTTAATAATTTGGTTATGGTTATATAACCATTTTTTTTACAAATCTGGTTTTTAAAGCAGTTCTTTTTAAAAACTAGTTTTAAATTGGTTATTTATACATTTGGGTAAAAACTATTTTTTTATTTTAAAAATGGATTATTTTTATAATTGGACAAAAATCAGTTTTAATTCATTTAAAAACCGTTTATTTTTTAAAATTGATTTTTAAGATCCAAATTTTACAACAAAAAAAATCATATTTTAAAAACTGGTTCTATTAATCATGATATTTTCAATTATGACATACTTCGACAAATCAATATATTTAAAAAAAAATTATATTTTAAAAAGAATTTATTCTTGTGACTTAATTATGGTAACAAAAGAAATCTAAAGAATATATTTTCAAAAGAAATACAAGTTTTAAATAACTAAAATGTATAGGAAAAGGGATAGAAAAGGATTATGGTAATTAGAAGAATCCTCAAATCTTCAACAATAACAATATAACTTCATAACATGTAATGTCACTTTTGTGATTAGACATAATAATTTTTCTAGAGTAATGTCAATTTCATCAACATCATTGATGCCAATAATCAGCTTTAAAATTGCAAGAAGCATAAACATAGTCCATCATATTCTAATTCAAAACAAAAGAAAACAAAAAAAAAATCAAACAATCAAACAATGATTTTTGCTTGAAAAAGCTTGATTTACTTTGACAACAATATTGATCATAAGCAGTTATGTAGCTCCAAATACAATATTACATTCCTAATTAGATTAAAATACAACTTTATAAAATCAAATCAAACTTTAAAAAATCAAATAAAAAATTCTGATTCTTGATAATTTTCTACTAGTCAAATGCAAACACAAAGGTAATACCAAACTGTGAAGGACACACTAATTTGTATCCCTTCTTCATATAACAACAACTTGACCCAAATAACCCAATTAAAGACAAGACAACCCAATAAATACACATGTAAGCATTAGAAATTCCCACTGAAGCTGAAACAATATCTCTAGAAAATTCAGTAGCAACAAAACACCACTATAAATTCCCACTGGAGCTATGGAAAATGGTGTTTTCATTTCATGTTCAGCTGGAAATTCAGGACTTTAACAAATGTTTCACCATGGATCACAATATTTGGAGCTAGTACAATGGACAGAGATTTTCTTGCCGATGTTAGCCTTGGAAATGGAAGAAAAGTAACCGAAACATCGCTCTATAAAGGAAGAGATATGCTCTCGGTTCGAAAACAATACCTTCTGGTATACATGGGAGGTAACTCAACTAGTTCTTATCTAAGATCTTTGTGTTTAGAAGGTACTCTAGATCATAAAATCATCACGTGGAAGATCGTGATTTGCGATAGAGGAATTAATCCTAGAGTTCAAAAGGGTCAAAGTAGTGAAAAATGCAGGAGGTATAGGAATGATTCTCACAATCACAGAAGCAAATGGTGAAGAACTTGTTGCAGATTGTCACATACTTCCACAATAGCAGTAGGAGAAAAAGAAGGCAAAAACATCAAACAATGTGTATTAACAAACGAAAAACCAACCGCAACATTAGCTATTCTAAACACAAGATTAGGAATCAAACCATCTCTTATAGTAGTTGCATTTTCATCAAGAGGACCTAACTTTCTTATGCTCGAAATTCTCAAACCCGATGTCGTAGCTCCTGGTGTGAACATTCTCTCCGCATGGAGTGGCGTTACAGGTCCATCAAGCTTACATACAGACCACAGAAGAGTTATATTATTTCTATGACACATGGGAGGGAAAAGTATTGTACTTATTCTTAGTATTTTCAACCGAGCATGTGCCTTTAGAATCCTTTTGAGATTTAATATAAGAGGAAGTGGATCGTACACAAGAACAATAAAACATGTCTAAAAAATTGCAACAAGATTGAGCATTAAATCAAATTGATTATCAAAATAATTACAACCTCTAAGCCGTTAAACAACACGTTTAGCCTTCTCAAGCATCCTGGCCTTCACTTAGCCGCTTAAGGAAATCATCAACTCACAACCCTCCATTGTCTTTTTGAGAATTATAACTACAACGAGTCCCCCAAAGAATACAATCACCTTTTGACAAAGGATTTTCATGTGTACACTTAATGCTTCTTACAAACTGATTACATAAATGAAGTCTAAGTGTTTCTAGAAATTTCTTGAGCAGCAACTCCTTGCTTTCTAATACAAAACTATCTAATTATAAATCTAGAAGAGATTATATAGCACACTAGTTATGTATTGCTTAAAAGCTTTCTTATTAAGCATTGCGGCTTCTTTTCACGAGCTTTAAGCTTCTTTCTGATATACTCCTTTCTTGAGCATATAATGCTTCTTCCAGTTTAACCATCAAGATCAGCTAAGTTATTATGCTTCACTTATTGATGTTTCACTTGATTAGTTTCACATGGCTTTAGCATATTCATCGTTTGCACACACATTCAAACAATTTACTTCAGTTTCTTCTTCATTGAGCATTCTTCATTTAAACTTTATCTTGTAGCATTTTCTTCAGCACTTTGGTTTTGCATAGCAGCGTGCTATCACCAGCAACCAACAATTCTTCAAGCTTCTTAATCTTCAATTTATAGAGCTTGAGAGAATAGATCTGTTGATGGACATTCTTGGAAACATATCCCAACAACAATATTCCAACGTTCACATGAAGGAACGGTCAACATCACTGTACAAAAAGTTGCTCTTACGCCACCTTATCGAGGTAGAGGTCACAATTTTTGTATTCGTGTGTTCAACTCAAAACCAATCTTATCTTCAGTCATTCTAATGTCTTCAGTGGCTTCAAATAAAACGTTGATGAAACATGTTGTAGAAGAGTCAATTCTTTGCAACTTCAGAAACCTAGTCTTCAGAATTCCAAGATCGTTGTTCAGCAGAACTATCTTGAGAATCTCCATCACTCGTTCTTTAAGAAGTAATATCTTCAGAGTCTTCAGAACCTGCTCCTTCATAACCTTGTCTTTAGAGTCTTCAGAATTCATTAAGCATATTCTTGTCTTTAGAGTCTTCAGTACTTCGTTCACCTGAACCTTATCTTCAAAAACTCTTCAGAACTTGACTTTCAAATATTGTGTTTTCAAAATCTTCAGAACCATGTTCACCTGAATCACATCTGCAGAATCTTCAGAACTTGTAACATTAGAAGCGCATCACATTAGAAAGCCTTATAGGCCTTTCTCATAAAGTCTAAATTAGAATTTCCAGAACTAATGTTTATTAGAGCCGTTGTATTAGAAACATTCATGAATCTTGACTTTATCTTGTACACACATATATTTTCTTCTAGAGTGTTGATAACAAAGTCTGATGATGTCACACGTCTTCTTATCAGAGTTAGATTCATATTGACAACAGTCACACACTAGACAGAAACCATATCATACCGAATTATTCTCTTAGATGACATGTGCAGTTATCATTAAAACTCAAAGGCCATATGTAAAATCAAATCTTGTTCTTACACATTTGTTTTTTTTAAAACCAATGCCTAAGAAGGTTTCAAAATATGACAGAATTTTGGTCATATTTGAAACTCAATTTTCTCCATCATTTTCTAATGAATTTTAGCAAAATCAGTGTCGATTTTATAGGGATTTCAGTATAGTTTATCAATATGAAATTTTCTTTTCAATTTAAGCTATCAATTAACACAATTTTTGAAATTACTACAAGAGTTCCATAAACGGGACAAAATTTTGGTAAGATTTGCAGCTTAGATTTCTACACCATTTCCTAATGAAATTTAGAAAAATTCGAGCCCATTCTATAGTAAATCAAGTCTAGTTTATGAATATCGAAATACTTAAAGCTTAGAATAATTTTTGTTCTACTCTTACTTAAAACAAGTGAGAAACACAATTCAATCCAGAAAAAACTATCAAATACTTAAAAATTAGAACAATTTTGTTCTATTTTTTTTTTGAATCAAAGGAAAGAATATATTAATTAAAAAAAAACGGTCAGTACAAAAGTCAGGTGATCCAGGAAGATCCAACCCACCCAAAATCGACTCAACTTATATCATATAACTAACAAGGTGCTTTCTAATTCTAAGATTTTGTCACCCTCTATAGATCACATTATCTATGATATTAGTATCCATGGTTGTATTATCTACAGTGTTTCCAAAAGTGATACTATTACGATAAGCCCAGATGTTGTAGATGGTTTCGACTACTAACATTTTCAAAACATCAACTCTCCAGCCTTTTCCTTTTGTTATATTAGTAATCCATACCAGCTCTGCCTCCCATGGTTGAGGTTCATGATATATGTTAAACCATTTGAGCACTTTCTTTCATACGTGTCTTGTCCCTTGACAGCGAAAAAACAGGTGATTCAGCGTTTCTTCTTCGGCTTGACATAAATTGCATATGCTGTTCTCAATCATCCCAAAACGCTTTAATCTATCTTTGGTTGCAAGTTTCCCATGACATGCTTGCCATAAACAAAGTATTACTCGCGGCCGGCTCTTGTTGGATATTATCAATTTTTTCCAAGGAACCCTTGTGCCATCATCAATCAGTAGCTTGTAAAATATCGACGCTTTAAATTTTTTAGTGTTCATAGCTTGGTTCCATTCATGGCGAATTAATTCCATGGTATCTCGTTGTTTCAAAATACCACGCATAATCCAAGAATTGTGATTTTTGATTACATAATTCATCACATGTTTTCCTTTTAGGTAATGACTATGAATCCATTTCACCCATAAAGTATCAGTTTTTCTGCAAAGATTCCATAAGCATTTCAAAAGCAGAACATTGTTCCATACCTGTAGATTCAGTAGGTTCATCCTCGCTTGTGCAGTAGGGCAGCAGGTGTGTTTCCATGCCACAGGGCATTTTCTACTCATCGTATCCTTACCGGTCCAGATGAAACTGCGACAGATGGATTCGATTTTTCTGATCACAACTTTGGGCATGGGGAGGCAATGCATCCACTATTGTACCATTGCTGAAGAGATACTTTTCACCAACTGAATTCTGTCTGCGTAACTTAGGAGTTTAGATGACCAATGATGAATTCTAGCCATTATTCTATCCACCAAGGGCATAAAATGGGTGATGGTTAATTTTTTGCTAGACAGTGGTATTCCCAGGTATTTGAATGGCAGCGTTCCTTCTCGAAAACCCGACAGCTCTTTCAATATTTTTTTCTTCTCATTGTCCAATCCTCCAAAATAGATCTTGCATTTGTTTGGGTTCATTATCAATCCCGTGGAATTGGAGAAATCCCTGAATGCCCTTAAAATCAATTGCATTGATATTTCATCTCCTTTACAAAATAACAGCACATCATCTGCAAAAGTGAGGTTGGTAATATTCAAATTTTCACACTTGGCATGGTAGTTGAAATTAGGATTTCTTTGCATTTTCACCATCAGTCTGTTCATATATTCCATTATGAGGACAAAGAGCATAGGTGATAGAGGATCACCCTGCCGAATCCCCCTTTTAGCCTGCAGGATATCAATGTATTCCCCCATGATATTGAAGCTGTAGGACAGAGTGGTGATGCCGAGCATCGTCAATTGGATGAATTTGTTAGGGAATCCCATTTCTTTCATGATGCACTCCAAAGCCCTCCAATTAACCATATCATATGCTTTTTGTAGATCTATTTGCATCATAATTCTAGGTGTACCCCCTTTCCTGGTGTAGTCTTTAATAAGCCCAGTAGCAAGCATGATGTGATTATGAATGTTCTGGCCTGGTATGAAGGCTGCCTGATTGTGATTCACCACACTAGGAATGACAGATCCTAATCTGTCAGTCAGAATTTTGGAAATAATCTTATAGAAAGTGGTGCAGACAACTATAGGTCTGTAGTCTTTGATTTCACAAGAATTTTGGCCTTTTGGAATCAGGGATACTACAACACTGTTGAAAGCTTTGTATATTTTGCCTATTTCAAAGTATTTCTTAATAGCTGCTATTACATCAGTTTTTATAGTTGTCCAAATGGTCTTGAAAAATTTGGCTCCATAACCATCCAGTCCTGGTGCTTTGAGGTCTCCAATTCCTTTAAGGGCTTTGGTAATTTCGTCTTCTGATATGGTTTTGGTGAGGTATTCCCTTTGGTCCATATCAAGTTGCTTTCCCATCCTCATGGCCTCAATATCAATATGGCTAATGCTTTCATCATCTTTGCCCATTAGGTTTCTGTAGAAATTGATCACTTCATCTTCAATGTCTTTCTTGGTTGTAATTTGCCTACCATCATTCTTCCTCAGGTTGTTTAGGATGTTGGAGTGATGTCTACCTTTGATAGCAGCATAAAAATACTGATTGTTTCCATCTCCTTTTCTAATCCAATCAATCTTAGCCCTTTGCTGCAGAATCTTCCATTCCATTTCGTTCAGGGATATCACTTCTTCAGTCAAGTCTTTAGCCTTCCCAATCAATGTGTTGTTCATTTTGTCATTGCTCAGCTTTTCTTGTGTTTCTCTGAGGGTATTTCTAACTGATATCAATTTGTTTTTCACATCAGATAGAGGTTTGCTGAAGTTTTTTAACTCATGCTTCAATCTCTTGAGTTTTTGCCAAAGAACATACATTAGACTACGTCTAATATGGCCATCCCAACTTTTCTTGATCAAATTGTCATAACCTGGTAGTTCAGTAAGGCAATTGCTAAACTTAAACTTAGCCTGTCTTGATTTTTTCCACTGTTCTTGTTTACATTCTAAAAACAGCATGGCATGATCAGAGACATTAGGAGGAAGGATTTTTAGAATAGTCTCCATATTGGTGAGGAACCAATTAGTATTGCCTAACACTCTGTCAATTCTTAAATAGATGGGACTAGCTGCTTGTTTATTGGACCATGTGAAATGGTCACCAATGCTATCCATTTCACTTAAACTCGTATTCTCTATCATTTTTTTCAGGTCTGCATATTCCTTTTCAGTCACTAGATTCCCTCTCAATCTGTCCTGGGATTTGGTTACATTATTATAGTCTCCAATGATACACCAAGGTCCTTGGATGCTACCAGATATGTTTTCAATTTCTGCCCACAGGGTTTTCCTTTTGTTCAGCTGGTTACGAGCATATACAGCAGTTAACCAGTGCTTGAAATCACCAAGATTATCATAAATACCAGAGTGGATATGTTGGCTGCTACTTTGTATGCATTTCAAATTCACCCTGTTACTATCCAAGTGAATCCAAATTCTACCATTTGTATGGTCTTTGTAGTTGTCAATATGATTATCATACACCATCAGTTTCTCTCGAATGGCCTTGGCTTTAGCTTCTTTAACTCTGGTTTCAATCAAAATGATAATAGCAGGCTTTATCTCTTGGAGACGGGACCGAATCTCACAAATTTTTCCTACTTTATTGAGTCCCCTTATGTTCCATGAGACTAACATGGTTCAAGGTTTGAGGTCACTTGATGGTCATTCAAAACCTCAAGTGCTTCAAAACCATTGTTACAGTTGATGTTGCTATTTGTATTAGCCAATATGTTTTTTGCTTTATCTCGTACAAACTTTCGTGCTTTTGTCCAAGATTCTCCTCCTTCCCCCGTTGCCTCTTCTCTTTCAGGTTGTTTTACAGGCGTTATGGTCTTGGCTGTTTCTGGTGGTTTGGGTTTTGGTCTCCATTGTTGGTTCTTCCCTCGATCTTCACATTTATGCCCCATTTTTTGACATGTTTCGCAGAATGTTGGTTTCCATTCATATTTCACAGGTTGCATTATTATGTCACCTTCAACACTTCTAATGGCTATTTCATCAATCAATGGTTGTGTAATGTCTACTTCAATCAGAAGTCTTGCATATGATACACGAAATTTGTTCGTCGTGCATTCATCAGTCACCAATGGTTTGCCAATAGCACTTCCAATTTTGCTGAGACTTTTTGCCCCCCATAAGTGCAGGGGGAGTTTGACCCATATAGGTAATGTTCTTAGCAGATCCTTCTTTAGGTTGAAACCAGTTTGCCATTCCTTCAGTATCATGGGAATATTTCGAATCGTGTATGGGTCTTTCATCATGACTGCTTCCTTGTCTCCCTGGGAGTTAAATATGAGCAAAAAATATCTGTCATCGTGGTAATAGAGATCTGGAATCTTCACGAAATTCCACATTCTCTGCATAAAGTTCTTCACCGTGCTCATACTCAAATCGTCTCCCACAATATAAAGGATTAGAGCATTATCCCAAAATTGTATTTCCGTTGCTGTCGCTACTGCGAAAATAAGGTGCCGACAAAACAGAAGAGTCACCACCTTTCGTTATTTATCCCACAGAAAGGGAAAGGAAACGATCGAAAAAACTTGACGAAAAGGTATAAGACAAGGTCATTGCAACCATTTCCGGGTTCGGGAGTCGGTTACACAAGGGGAAGGTATTAGCACCCCTCACGTCCATCGTACTCGATGGGATCCATGCTTGTTGTGTTTATCTGACGGGTTGGTTTATCTGTCTACGCTAAAAGTCTGGTCTGAAAAGAAAAGAAAATGACTCGGCAGAACACAGCAGTTCTATGCCTACGTATTCCCCTCTGGAACGAGAAATCAGAGTCAACGTAGTTCGCCTAACTACGGGTGAAAGGGGGAAGGTTGCTCGCCGAGATATCGCATCTCGTGCCTACGTACTTTCACACAGCATGAAAGATCAGAGCAAACGTAGTTCGGGCTAACAAGACCACAGGTTTGGTTCAAAATGTTTTACCCGAGTAGGGTTAACAAACGGTTCTAGCAGTTGGTGTATGCAACTCGACCTTTGGAGACATAGGCGTTTACCGTTTGCGGTAGAACCGAGAGTTAACAAAACTCTCCTTATGAAAATGGTTTCCAAGGATTAAAGGTCCCAGAGGACAAAAAGAAGTTTGATCTTTGTTTTTGAAGTCTTTTAAAGAAGAAGTGTTTTGTGTTTTGTTTGTAACTCGTTTTGCACTAAAGACTTGGACTCAAGAGTGAATGTGTCGCATGTCACCCAAAGGGTACCATACTAAACACCCAAGCTGTTGAAAAGAAACTCTCCAACAACCCTCTCTCAAGTGCTTAAGGCTCGTAGTGTACAACACGCGTTAATCTTTATTAAGTGTTTTAAAGATGTTTGCAGATGAGAAGAGAAAAGGGCGCACTAAAGGGGAACTGATCCAATCCTAAAGTTGTCATGCAAAGTTGATCCTATGATTGAGGTTAGGAGGGAGCTACCTAATGTTATCATGCCTGGTTAGAACCCTAATGTCTGTCATAACTTCTCTTGAACAAGAGAAGTTAGAGTCCCTAAGGGAACATGGCAAAGGAAAGCAACAACAAAGGAAATAATGAGCTGTAAAGGAATAATTGTAAGTAAAATGCATGCAATGCAGCAATACAAGCAGAAGGAGACAAACTCAACTTCTAGAGCAAACAAACAAAAAAGCAACATAAAACACACAAGCAAGGGATACAAACTCAACCTTCAGCCGACAAGCAAAGCCAAACAGTAACAGACAAGCAGAGGGAGACAGACTCAACCTCTGATGCAAACAAGCAAAGGGAGCCAAGTTCAACCTTTCAATGCATTTAGGCCTAAACCAACTATATGAAAGCCTATTCTAATGCAACACACCAAACAAACAGTCACACAAATACAGTCAATCAGTGAACACAGCAAACAAAACAGCAAGCCAGCAGCTCAACAGCAAAGCAGTCTTCTAGAAGTAAAGCAGCCCAACAGTCTGTAATTGTCTTCATGTCCAATTTATCCATCAAGAGAAAATAGAATAAGGCCTTCACCTTCAAGCTTCAACTTGCTTCATCAAGAGATGAGAATCAACACCAAGATTATTGCATGATGAGGGGAAGCATGATGGAAACCAAAGGAATCCATCATGGCACTCAACCATTCACCTAAGATTGGTATCCTCAAATGTTTTACCTTTTGTGGTAGGCTTTTAGTCCTTCCAAAGGAGGGACTAGGCTCACACAAAGGAACCTTGCATCATTGGATAGGAAATGGAATGCAAACCAAAGCAAACCATACTTATGAAAAAGGAAGAAACTCCTAAAGGCTCTAAAAACCCTAATTCTACAAGCTCTAAAAGCAAACCTTTAAAAGGAACCAATGCACCAAATTAAGCCTTACAATTAAATCTAAAGAAGCATCAACATGTCTACTAAACCATCAAAAAAGATTTGGAAACTTATCATGAGCTAATGGCCACTTTTGAAGTTCAACTAGGGGAAGCACTATGTTAGAAGCAACCTAAACACAACCTAGATGTAAAATCTATCTAAAATAGCAAATCAACTCCTAAAAATCTATAAAATTTTCTAAGGGATCCTAAAGGTATTGGAAACCTATGGTAAAAAAATCCAGGGCCTAAATCAATGTCTAAAGGCACTAATGAAATTCTAAACCAAAAGGTGTCAAGTGAAAGTTCACAACGGGAAAGCTCTATAAACCTACTCCAAAACAGAACTTAGAGTCATCTAAAAAATGTAAGAAAACTCCTATAATATACTATAACGTGTCACCATTCATCATGAAAAAAAATCAGAAATTAAATCCAAGCATTGATATGGAAACAAAATTCTAGAAGTTAACATGGCATTATTTCTATTCATGGAACAACACATAAAAGAAAAATACAAAATTAATTAGAAAATGAATTAAAATTGCAATTAAAAAATGTGACAATTTTCTAGACATGTCAAAGTATCTCCAGTATTTTTCTCACGATCTTATGAAGCAATTTAATATATTTCTTGAATTAAAATGAAACAGGTATCAAAACAGAAAAATAAAAGAAAAAGAAATTAAAAGAATAGTCAGGAGGTGTAGTTAGTATTGTTTTTGTGTTATATTTTCGTTTGGGCCACGCGCAGGGGGTGGGATTAGCGCATATGTATCAAGGCCCATCTGAGTTTAAAACTCAGCACTTGCAATGTCCAAACGCAGCGTATTGCGTGGGAGAGTGGCCACCTCGCAGACTAATTGTGGCCGTTGGATGATCATACAAGTCAAGCCTTTCACGCGATTGGACGGTGGGCACGCGTGCTGGCAATTTGAAACGGAAACGGAGGGAAACTTGCAGAACAGCCGCGCGTGGTGGGGGCCGGTGGTGCTGGTGGCCGGAATATTTTCCGGTCATCTTCAACCTCTAGCCAAAATTCTAACTTCCTCATTTCTTAACCAAAATTCGGTTTTCTTTAACCAAACCTGTGTATTTTTTCGTGTAGAATCCAAATATCTAATTTATTTCTACTTTCCTCCATTAAAACTCAGAATTTATAAACCTCCAAGAATCACTCAAGAAAATCAATTTTCTCAAAACTCCAAATTGATGATATTAATCTCTTCCTCTCACTTCCTACATCATGAATATCAAATTCTTTTCCATTTTCATCCACTAACAAGAGAGAAAATCAAACTACAACCTAGGGTGTCAATTCTTGAAGTTTCATGGAACCTAACCAAACTAATCCTAAAAGCTTCTACATACTCCAAGGATCATAATTATGTAAAAATGGCGCAATAACTCATCAAGAACAAAGCATATGAATGAGAGATAAGAACCTCGTTTGGAGCTTCAATGGTGGAGTGTTCTTGCACGAATTCTTGATCAAAGTTGTTCAAAATCCTTCAATGATGCTTGGAGAAGCTTCTTGAATGGTTAATTCCCTCTGAAATTGCTTCAAAGTAGAAAATCAATTTTCACTTCTAACCAACTTTTTTTTAAGTGCTTCTTACCTCATTCAAGTTTTTCCAATCACCAACCTTGCTATGAATTCATCCATGGTTTTATATAGAAATGATTTGGATCCTTATTTGGCCCAATTATGACCCTATTCACTCAATCCAATTTTCCAATTTTCCTCACTTTTTCCTTTGAAATTTCCATGAACATGGTGTGTGGAAGTTTCCAATTCTGTTCATATCAGTTCCTTATGATGCAAGGAACATGTAGGGCTGAGATTAATGCCTTGGAAGTGAATGGATGGTGGATTTTGAATTTGTGACTTAAAGTTTAAGAAACCATGAATATCCCCATGTAAATGAATCCATTTCTGATTTCTGGTTTTGCCATTGTTCTTAAAATATTATTTGGACTCAAAAAATGCACCAACATGACATAAATTGATTTAATTGGCATTAAATCCAAACTAGGCCTTTTCAAACTTCTTTTCATGAAATTTTCTCCATACATTCTCATTTCTAAGCTATGTCAATGATCCCTTGAGGTTTGGTTGACCAAATAATCCCATTTGGAGCAACTTTCAAGTTGGCAAGATTTCCATTTGAAGTGTGCAAAGTGGTGAACTTGACATATAATGAAAATGACCTGTAATCTCACTTTCCCAAAATACCCCTAACTTGTAAGCCTCATAGCTTGAGTTCTACAAATCAGATGAAAGACTTCTAGTACATTTTGGAAAGCTAAGACCAAGACCTACAACTTTCATGTTTGCCAAAAGTTGAGGAGAAACATCCTTCTAGGTCAAAAGTGCCTTGGAAGTTGGTGGATTTTCACAGATAAAATTCACATTCATCTGATGACCTGTAACTTGTCTGGATCATAACTTGAGTTCTATAAATTCAATCAAGGACTTCTAGTACTCAAATTAAATCTAAGAACATGCTCTATAAGTTCCATGTTTGTCAAAAGTTGAGATGAAACTTGTATCTTGATATAAGTGGTCTTGAAGCCAAGTACTAAATAGGGGATTTTACCCTGAGAACCCTAGTTTAGCAACTCCTCACACTTTGAACTTTTCTTGGACTGATCTTGGAATGACATCTAAAACGCTTCAACATAACATTCCATAAACACCATGACTTAAAAATAGGCTTTGATCCTCTTCAATTGCACAGTTGACTTAGGGTTGACCAGACAAACCCTAATTGCAACACCCTCAACTGTGGCTCTTCACACTTAGCATAATAACTTGACTGAGCTCCACCATGACCCTCAAGGCACTCCATGAGCTCTATCCACATATCATATCCATGATCAAGGCTTCACAACCCACTGATGGTCTTCAATGGGCCCCCAAGTGAGGAGATGAACCACATACCAGCATCCAAACTTCTCAAGAACACAACCCACTTTCTGATGACTTTGGTGACCTCTCAAGCTTGAATAAGACCTCTAGATAGGCTCCTCTTGATATAAACCACACTTTAGATAGGCTCTCAAGCTTGAATAAGACCTCTAGATAGGCTCCTCTAGATAGGCCCCCATGAGCTCTATCCACATATCATATCCCCTGCTAAATGAATAATGTTATGCTATGCAAATGTTAGACCAATGATATGCTAATGCAATGAAACAAAAGCCAAGTAAGAAAAAGGTTAGGCAAATTTTGGGGTACAACAATTGCGATATATTCTTGTTCAATCTCGATTTCAATCACTCCATTGATGACCTTTGGCGCAACGTATTCTATTGCCATTCCTTTTGCAGGGTTTCGGTTGTCATTGATGATATCAACCCATAGTTTACGCTCCCCAGGTTGTGTTTGTACCGTTTCTGTTAGGGTTTTCTTGGTTTCATTCTCGAGTGTGTTTGTCATATCTGTATCTTCTCCAGCGGTAATTCTTGATTCAATCTCAGGCATCTTCAAATTGGTGGTGGTATTTCTTGATTCGAGTTCAGGCGTCTTCAAACTAGTGAGAGTTTTCGGTGACGATGGCACTGTGAATTTCAGCCGCCCTCGTCCCCGCTTCGTCGTCACCATCAACCGCCGCCCTCAATTCTCTAAATACAATTTTGTTCTATTGTTACTAATAATACTATGTTATGCATATAGTCTGAACCAATTCGTAGTACTTGATTCTCAACATCTAACATTTAGTTTTTAGCCTAAATTCTCAAAATATAGAGTTTTCGAAATTTCTCTAGAGGTTCCAAAAACGCGATTTGGGGAAACAACAACTCTAACATCAAATTCTAACCTAATCTTCAACATATTTAGTGGATAGAAGAATTTACTTATAGTAGAGAGCAAATTTGTATTGGAATTTGGGATCAGGGTTCCTCACAAATTTGAACTAAGCCATGAAGTTGAGGTGAAAAAAATGGTAGAAGATAAGCTTTGATTAAGGAAAAAAAATGATTAATGATTAGGGGAAATTAGTCTACCTGAAAACTTGATGCAATGGAAAAGAAAAATGTCTTGAGGTTCTTGAGGATGAAGATGAAGAGAGCCACATTAGAAGTGAATATTTTAAAATGTGTTCATATTTAAAATTGGAAGTTCGATTTTGAAACTGGATGCATTTTGGACTTTTGGATAATAATCAGATTATAACCGGATCCAAAAATAAAATATGGATGGATAACCACCCATTTATAAATAATTTGGTTGATAACTATCATATCCCAATTTTTTCCCCTAGATCTCATCATCATTCTAGGTGCATCAAACATTGGTTATCTAACCTTAACCTATTTCAAGTTTGTCTTTGTCAAGATGCAGATGAATTAGGGTTTCATACAGTCAAGAAACCATGGTTTCTAGGGATTGATCAGTCAAAGTTTTGGATTGATCCTCCACCTAAAAATTTTCTATATCATCAAGAATATCACATATGATCAAGAAGGATTCCAATTTGAGGTTGTCACCAAGAGAATGGAAGTAGTGCAGTGCAAGAACCCTAATCAGGGTTTCTTGTTGGAAAAGTCAACTGTAGTTTGACTTTTGGTCTAGAAGGATTTCCAATGAGGGAATTATGGTCCATGAGGCTCATATGAACCAATTAAGTCTACCCAAGAAGTTTCAAGACCTCAGGGAACCCAGAACATCAACAGTCAATTCGGAGATTTTCAATTGTTCGGTTCGTCTATTAGGAAAGTCAACTCATTAACCAACATGGTTTTTACCCCAAATTGAAGCCAAATTTGTTTCAAAAATCATTTTACATATAATTATGAAGTTTTGTGGATATTTAATCAAGAATTGATAGGTAACTTGCAAATCAAGAAACAAGGGTAGGTGAAAAAACCCTAATTTTGATCAAACTTCAAATGGTCATAACTTCCTAACCACACATGAGTGGTTCAAAGCTTGTTGGAAAGGTCTTAAGGAGCCCTACAAAAGTGTCCTACTGAACCATGAGCAAAAACTAAATGGGTTTATATTTATGAATCCATCAAGTTGTAAAGGATTTCAAACACTTAGAAAATTTTGAGGTTTCTTGACTTATAAGTCAAGAATTCATCATTTTTACAAAGGGGTTTTTGACCTAGTTTCAAGTAGAATGAGTTCCTAATTCAAACATCAATGTTGTAGTAACTAATTAGGGCTTTCTAAAAAGTACAAGTGGGTTCCATAACTCCTCATGGTTAGGGAGAACCAAAGCTCACAAGTTGGCAAAAACTCACTGCTGCAAAACCAGCTCAGCATGGATATCTTGATTCCAAAACTTCCCAAATCAATTCTAATGAAGGTTTAAGCATCATTTCTGATCTTCACATGCTAATGGAAGTGTTTAGCATCATATTCCACGAGCTTGGCACAATAAATGAAGAAAATCATTTGTTTAATGCAAGTTGCAAAAATGAATAGTGAAGAAAAAGAAAAATGGTGGCTGCCATCATTAAACCACCCTCTATGCTACAACCAGTCACCTCCTATCCCCTAAAACATGATGAAAATGACCTATAGGGCATGGATAAACACTAAGTAGAGTGGCTTGAGGTCAAAAATGGAGACTTGCATTGGTTGGAACAAAGATTTCAAAGTTACCAAGGTTGACATTTTGCACCATTCTGCCCATACCTCTTCTTCAAGACCTCTTGCTATAAATAGAACCTCGTTCTCACACCAAAAGGACACCAGTTCATTTTTAGAAACCAACCATAACTCTCTCCCTCACCCAGTCACCAAGTTCTTGCAAGTTGTCACCAAATTTCCAAAACCTCCAAAATCTGCCTTGCATTTTCCCTTCCAAAACCTTTTCCAAACACTTTACAATTCAAACAACACTTCAAACACATCATTTATGATGTGTTAGAGATGTCCAAGACCTTACTTTATCCAGAAAACCATCCAAGGCAAAAGTCAACTTCCAAAACCTCATTTGTTGACTTTTCTACATTTTAGAAGGCATCCATCAAACACTGCATTTCCTTGAGTTCTAAGACCACTCACACCTCACATTTGACATATACAAACTGTCCATAAGTGATTCATACTCCTGTAACGAGGTTTGAGCAAGTTGGCTTTGGAAATCTTTGGATCTTTTTGGTGTTTTCCTCACTATCAAGGCATTCTGTCCACTAGCTTGCTTGGAGGTTGCTTTAAGCATCTTCTCATCATCCTTAGAGCATTTGAAGACCATCAAAGAGCTTGTAAGATCTCTGGTTTTCTTGCTTCCCAAGTTTGCATCACAAGGCTACAAGAGGTAAGCCTACAACTTGCATTTCTCATGCCACCTTAAGTTATAGACATTATTTTGTATTGAAAAGTGGTTAGACATGTATTATGTATGTTATGTGTCATGTATGAACCATTTCTTGCAGCAAAACATGTGTTTTTTTGAACTGTCAAATTTCAGGTCACAAACTAGGCCCAACCTAGTCACATTTTGCATTTTGATTCCAATTTTCCAAACCACTTGTGCATTTCTTGATTTATTTTGTGATAACCTCTATATATGATGTATATGTGATTTTTTTACACTTGTTTCACAAAACACACCACTACACAATGTTGTTCACATGTTCTTGCATTTGGTTGTCACCAAACTTGCCCTACCATTAATGCTATCGGGTTTTCTTGTGGGTTTATGGTATGAAAATATAAATAGTGTTTGTCAACTCTATGTAAGGATCATTGTCATGATTACTTACTCCCCTCTTGGATTTTGTCAAGGTCAACCCCCTTGAGTGTACAACTTAGAATAGAGAGTTTTGTTAAACTCTACGCAAGCATTGTTATGTTTGCTCCCCTTTGAACCCTGATCATAATCAAGTGTTCATCCATCCTCAGTGAGGTGAACTACGATTGCTCTGATTTTATCCTAGTTAGGATATGTAGGCAGAAGATGCAATATCTTTGCGAGCACTTAGAAACATCAACCCTAGGTCTTTACCTAGAGCTTTACCCCAACCTTAACAAGCAAATTAGCATACAAACATACAAAATGTTCCTGTAGAGTACTACAGATGTTTAGGATGTGAAATACCTACCCTAAGCATAACCAACCCTCGACCCCCGATCTCTTAGCGTTGTTTTTACATCGCGCAAAAGTTCTTTTCTTTCTTTAACCTTTCTTTTGGATAAATCAAAGTCCGGTTGTGAATTTAATGAATTAAGATTCAAGTTAATCAATAGCTTGATATCACGATTCTCACCACAACAATAACTATTTCATTATATCTGGATATTTAAAATGGATTTGGATACAGTTATGAATTTGGGCATAATAACCGTATATTTTACACACCCATATGCTTGGGGCCCTCGATGAGCATCCCAGTCTCGCTCATCTCGGTGCTAACATGCATCTCTTTCTTCAGACCGACTATTCATTGAGTTTCCCGATCATTTGTACCTTTCTTTCTCTTCTGCTAACAACTTATCTTCATAATTGATATATAGTTGGGCGATAATAAAAAGGTCATTCCTACTTATAACACCTTCCGACCCTAAATTTTCATGGAACATCTCGTCCTTCGTTAATCAAAGAACCATTACTTCATCCAGTCATTCGATCTGCATACCTTTACTTCCACATTTGTGAACCAATCGATATACGTTCGTGTAGTCTTCTTATTTTTTTATCGATTGTACTAAGGATGGCTATTGTCTTCAGTTTCCATTCTCATATTGTGAATTGAGCTATAAATTCATCACACCACTTCTACGAGGATTTAATGGATTTGTCGGGTAGGGTTTTAAACAACTCAATGGCGGCTCCCTTAAGGGTTAAGCTAAAGTATTTGCATTTCACTGCGCTCTTAGTAAGATGATAGTCGAACATGGTGTCTACGTGTTCAATATGCTCATATCGATCCCCGGTCCCATCATAGCTATTCAACTTCAATGGTTTTTTGAGAGACTTAGAAATTCTAATGTCGACAATATGTTTAGTAAACAGGTCTCTCCGACAGTGAGAGGGGGCTTAATCTTTTGTGCATTATCGATCTCATTTTTTAGAGTGATGAGATGGAGATATATGAGGGTAACAATCTTTGAAAGGCGTGTATCTATCATCTCCACCTCCATAACCATTGAAATTCTGGTATGCAGATCACATGTGTTCCAAGAACATTGATCTCTGCTCAACAAGGATGAGGACAGACCATGGCCAATTTAAATTTCTTTAAATTGTCCCAATGTCATGATCAATGTCACGACCTCTGTTGTGACATCTGCAGTCTGTCATGCTATTTATCTAACCATTTAAAGTACAGAATTGTAAATGCAGAAAGATAAATAACACAGTAATTGTTCACCCATTTCGGTATCAACAACACCTACATTTGGGGGCTACCAAGCCAGGGAGGAAATTCACTATTAGTAGAATCAATTCAAAGTCAAACCTCCAGTTTGCACTTCTCACTTAATCTCTATCCAATGACACTTCAGCCTAGAGACACTCTAGTACCTGAGTATACCCACTCACTCCCCCTCAATCACACAACAGTGATATCAAAGAATTACACAAACAGTATGAAGAGACACTTCATACACACCTTGATCTTGCTTCACAGCTTTGATCAAGGAACTCA